GAAGTCTAACATATCCTTGTAGTTTTTATCAGAAGGAACTTTTTTTTTTTTTTTTTTTTTTTTTTTTCCAAATTCCGAAATTTCAAATTTCAATTTGTTTTTATCAGTAGTCACAGTAATTTACAGAAGTTAGATTTGTTTCATAAATTATTGAGGCTATATTTGGTTTTTATTGATTAATTGCCAATTGGTTTCGGGAGATTCAAATTCTTTCCGATTTTCCCGGTTTTCTCCAGTTTACTCTTCGAAGTCGCTCGAATTAGCTGAGCAAAATGGGGATCTTCTCAACTGTGTTTCTGTATGCTTTTCATATAGTCTTGACAAATGTTTACAATGAAGTATTACAACTTGGCAAGTCGTGTGACATACTATCGTCATCGTTAAATAATGCTGTCTTCAATTGCTTCTGTAGATTCAATTGCTTGAGAAGGGGTTCGATAAAAACTATGAATAAAAATGCGGAAAGAGGGCAACCTTGTCTCACACCGCGATGAATTTTGAAGCTGGCTGATAAAAAACCATTTATCTCAATTACTGCTTTTGAGTCTAAATACAAAGTTTCAATAGCTCTAACTGAAAACTCATCAAGGTTTAACCCTTTCAAAATTTTGATGAGAAGTGATCTGTCAACTCTGTCAAATGCTTTAGAAAAGTCTAATTTTACAGCACATGAACCTCGGGTAGCCAATCGTTCTGGAGTAATCGCTTTTTTCAACTTTCGTATTGCTGTGTGCATTTGTCTTCCAGGCAAATACGCGTGCTGATGGTTTTTTACAACTTTGCAAAGGTCATTTTTAATTCGATTACAGACTACATGGGCAAAGATTTTCGCGTCAGTTTTCATAAGGCTGATGGGGCGAAAATCTTGTACTGCTATGGAATTTTCAGATTTCGGGAGCAGTTTGATTATTGCTAAATAAAAACTGTTTGGAAGTTTTCCACCATGAACAAAATGATTAAAAACTTTAGCTAAAATTGAACAAAACTCATCCGTGAAAGTCTTGTATAGCTTAGAAGTAAGGCCGTCTGGTCCAGGCGAGCTTTTCAAATTCAATTTGTTTATAGCCAAGTGAATTTCATCTTCTGTAAAGTAATTATAGCCATCATTCTCATTTTTTCGAGTTTATTTTTTGATAAAAAAGTCTTTAGAAGTTGATCGGAGTCTGTTGTAGAACTATTTGAAAAAATATTTGAAAAATACTTTCAAAATTGATTAGGAATATCCTCATCCGTATGATAAACGTTCTGATCCACTTGAATTCGCTTGATTGAGTTAATTGTGTTCTTTGATGTCCATTGACTACAAAATTTGGGAACACCCTCGAATGTATAGCTGAGAGTTTTCTGAATTTTTCGATAATCTGAAAAAAAATTTTCCTTGGAAACTTTTTGAAGTTGTTCCAGCACCAAATGATATTTTTCAATCAAATTAGGATTCGGACCTTTTCCGCTGTGAATGGAATCTCTGAGAACATTTTCGTGATACTTCAATAAATTAAGTTCTTTCTGATCTACACGCTTTTTGTTCTCTTGAATAAACCTCAGAAGGTCACGAAAAATGTGCTTAAAATTTTCGTAACTACTTGGTGATTCATTTTCGTAAAAGTTTTTTAGGTCTTCACGAATTAAGCTGGCGTTGTTGTTTAAAATTTCTTCATTTAATTTCCAGTAACTAGGGCCGCGCTGATACAAGTTAGATGGCTTAACGAAAACGTGTAAGAGCAAATGATCAGATATTGATATCTGAATGCTTTGCATAGAATCATACTCTGTTTCGAATTTTATGTAAACAGAATCTATGCGTGCAAAAGTTTTATGTTGTTTGTCATAATGTGTATAATCACAAAAATCATTCTTGAGTGCAAAATCAACAAAACCAAAACAGTCAAGAATTTGTTCTTTGAGGTGGGTAAATCGTTTGATACGTGCATCATTTAACTTAAGTATTGAAGAACTGTTAATATTATCATAACTCAGCGCATTAAAGTCACCCATCATGATAATTTTCGATTTGTTAGGTAAAAATCTGATGCTTAATTTCAGGGAATTCAAAGTTGCTCGGAATGAAATTGGGTTCGCATAAACGTTGATAACAAACCAATCAAGTTTGACAAACTTTAACAATTGAAAACCTGTACTTGAAGCAATTCTTTTTGCAGGACTCAAGTTTGATGACCATAACGTTAAGAAACCACCAGAATTATTTGAGCCCGGTATGAAATCGAATAAAACATTATATTTATCCAGTAAACTCAAATGTATATTTGTAAGTTTCGATATTTTTGCTTCCTGAATGCACAAAATGAAACTGGGCGATTTTTTTAAAACTTGGCATTTTTTGATAAGTGAGTGTAATTTAGCTGGATTTCCTATGCTAAAAATATTAACGGAAAAAATATCTGGTTTTTCGCACATAGAAATTTTTGCTAAAACTTCCCTCCAACCAAGTCTTCTCCGTTATTTTTAGATTTCATTTTTGGCCCTTTCTTTCGTGTTAAAACTGACCAAGAGGTTGGTGAAGTTTCACGCTCTCTTTTTGTAAGCATTCTTCCGTCAGAGGAACATTTTCGTTTGTTATTTTCGATATTTAAGTTGTCTTTTTTTTTCTTTTGCAGAGTAAGAATGAAAATCTACGACCTGATTGTTGAGAACCTCATCCTTTTGTTTTTCTTCGCTTGGAGTAGCTGCACTGTTTGTTTTAGATTCATCAATCGAAACTCCAGATGGTGGTGCTTCAACATTCTTATCTTCTTCATTTTCGGTACCATTACAAAACTTATCGCTTGTTGTTTCGTCATCGTTTTTCTCGTCGCTGGCATTATTGGAGCTTGGTTTTTGTGGGTAGTGATTATTTGGATTTTTGGTTATTTGGTTCCCTATGTTGCACCAATCATCGTGATGACCTTTTTCTTGGCGTCCAGACATCTTGCATTTGTGACATTCATGTAGTGAAGGTATGTGAAACGAGATTTCTACACCTTCCCACATTTTGAAGCCATCCATTCTCGATTTATAAGACCAGTCCTTCAGCTTTTTCTCTTGTTCTTCGTTTTGTATTTTAACTTCTAAAATTGCTCTTCCTGTGTAAACATACTGACCCGGTTCAGTTACGATACAGGTCTCACGTTGGAATATGGGGCTATGAATTATGTCTTCTGGCAATTGGAGAATTAATTTCGCTTCGATATCGTTGCATACATAAGGCAAGTTTGACAATTTGATTTTTGCTAGTTTAGGGTAAATGTTCTTGGGTCTATGAGACCTTGGAAAGCATCCCATGGGAAATACCGTCCTGTTAAGTAGAATGATTCCTTCGCTTTTGATGCTAGTTATGAATTGCTCTGCTTCGGGGGGAGCAATAACTGTCAGTGTATGAAGTTTGCGGTCATCTTTCGTCACGGTTATTGTTTTTGAGATTGTCATCTTCTGTTGCATTGTTGTGGGGAATTGTTTAAGTATATCGGAAGCACAACTTCGATATGCCTGCGCCAGATTTTCAGCTGACCTTACAATTTCTCTCGAGAATGGGGGGATGATTTTGATTATTTGGATTTGTTTTGTTTGTGTCGTCGATTTGTTTGCTGTTAGCGCATTTCTGAAATTTGTCTCCGTTTCAATCAGCACTTCGTGAGTAATTGGTAGCTGAGATTCCGTCAGTTGTTGTTGACTCATGACTTGGTTTTACTCTATGGGGGGCAAAAAAGCCTTCACCCGGAGGTATACTTGAAAAAAAATAGATTTTTCTCTTTCAAAATGTAGAAATCAGAAGGCAAAAATTAACTATATTGCACGTGCGTTTTTTTCTACTCACTTATTTCAAACTTATTTCACTTATTTCAGGAACATATTTCAAACATATTTTTGCGTTTTTATAAAGTGACATTTTTAAAGATAAAATTTCGATTCAGTCGTTCGAAGTTCTGTAAAATGCTAAAATTAGCTAATTTACATACGTAAGATGAGCAAAGTAGTATCTATAATTTTAGTCGAGACAGATTTGTTTCTAATAAAGAAACTTGAAAATTATTCGTCCCTCTATAAATAGTTTCGAATCTTTGGTTTTATTTTGTGTAACTGCTAAAGCTTCTTATTTAAGGTTTTGAAATGCTGGAAGAAATTCTCCGAGAGTATGGTCGAACAAAAACAAAGCTACCTATCTGAATCGCCAATTCCTGAGTGGTTTTTCAATATCGAAGAAACTGAGAGTCTTCCGGAAAAGTTTTTAGGGACAAACTTTTTGCAGTACACAAGCAGTACCGTAGTTATTAAAATTTACCTCCTAGGCAGAGCTTTGAGTAATGTTTTCGAGAAGCATGGATTGAAATACTGGACAAGTGGTGGTACCACATTGGGGATTGTCAGACATTCAGGGCTTATTCCCTGGGACGATGATCTGGATTTGTGCATGATGGATGATCAAGTTGATCTTTTTCATGGAAAAATTGCTGAAGACTTGAAAAAGAATTATAATATCATATTTGTTGAACCAACGGCTGTTGGCTACCGATTGTTCCATGCAACTGATTCAACTGAGGTATGGAAAACCGGTTCTAAGCAAGAACATAGATATCCTTTTTGCGATCTCTTCGTGATGCGTAAAATACCAGGAAAACCCAAGCGATGCGAAATTAAAGATAGAGCTGGTAGAGTGCTGTGGCCTGAAGAAACTTACCTTATCGAAGACGTCGAAAAAGCACAATTGATGAAGTTCGGCGATTTCAAATTTAGATGCCCCAACAATGCGGAAGAATATCTGAACAAAACATATGGTCTAGACTGGAGATGTAAAGGCAAAACGCATAACTATTGTCATTTAACTCAGAAGTTCATGAACACCGAAGTTTTTTCGATTAAAGATTACAGTCCCGCTTTACCGTTTGGATGAAATTCAAGATTTCCCTTCAATTGAATTATTCATTAAAGATCTTTTTCTGCGACGTAAATTTATGAGTGATTTGAGTGATTAAAAAAGTTGATTAATTAATATAATTTTTTCAGTTAAAATGAGCGGAAATAATATGCAAACGATCAAATGTGTGGTTGTCGGAGATGGTGCTGTCGGAAAAACATGTCTTCTAATTTCGTATACGACAAATAAATTCCCTTCAGAATATGTGCCTACGGTAAATTCTTTTGCAGCTTCCTAGGTCTCATTTTTGATCAAGTATGATAGCTGGGTCCCTGAAGAAAAATTTTTGGGCTTCAAATTCTTCGAAAAAAAATGGTTCGCTTACTTGTTTACATTTGCTTTCTTGTTTTTGAAGTTTTCACAAAAATTGCGGGACCTATCTTTCATACTTATTTTTTTTTCTGGGAACCAGCTATCATTCTTGTTATTATTGAACAGCGGTATGGTTATCATTCTTATGCTATCCTGAAAAAAACTTATCGTGTAAATCTATCTATCTATACATTATTTAATTGGCGTTTTACTTGACAATGTTGACATATTTTTCATATACATTTTTCATCACATCTACATTTATCATATATTCGAAACCCTACTGTGGGGTGCTGTCAGGGTACACGAAGGGGTTGTAAATCTGGCGTCCATGTATGACTGTTCAAATCCTTTTAACTTTCGAGATGTCAGTTTTTTTAATTTTTTCAATTTTTTTTTTAAAAAAAACTTATCGAACTTGAAATTCTCATTCTTGAAATGGCGTGTTGTCAAGGTACACAGTGAGGTTGCAAATCTGGCCTCCAAGTATGACTGACCAAATCATTTTGGTTTTCGAGTGTGGCGTTTTCATGATTTTTTGAAGTCATTGTTTTTCAAAAAAAAAGATTTAATGGAACGTGAAAATCTCAACCATATGGTGGGGTGCAGTCGGGGTACACTCAGGGGGTTGCAGTTCTTCCCTCCAAATGTGACTGCCCCGGTTTCCGAAATATGGCGTTACACATTCGGCGTTGCAAATCTGCCCTCTAAATTTGACTGCTCAAATCCTTTTTTCGAAATGGCGTTTTTATAAAATATAAACACCTGATACATGAGCCCAGTTTATCTTCACGGTTGCATTAAATATTGAAGTACATGTTTTAGGAAGCTCTTTTTTACGTTCAACGATCTATTTGAAGCACCGTAGGTGCGAATCATGCGCTAGTCGATCCAGAATTACCAAAATATGCGGCATCTATTAGAACCTAGTAATACTCTCTTGAATTGGGACACTGGTGCAAAACAATAACTGTAGCGTCTAACGGAGAACTACTTCCATTCTCTTGAAGTTGTAGCAGGGATAATAATTAACCTTTTTCTATATCAGAAACTTACCTATGTTGACTGCTTTAAGCTTTTTTGACGTATTATTTTTGCATGTTTAACGAAAGAATTTCTGCACGTTTGAGCTCTATCGTATATTTCAAGGCTTTACAAGTTCCATTTGAAACATGATAAAGAAGTCGCTATGATGATCTGTTAAAAGGCCAAAACGTTACAAGTGTTAGAATGTTTGCTCAAGTCGAACGTTTTGAAATCGGTTGGAGGCAAATGCTTTAACTGTATTTTTTATGTATTCGCAATGCACTCTTTAAGATTTCTGTTCCAGTTTATTTAAAAAAAATAGCAATTCTCAACCCGATAGTGGGGTGCTGTTAAGGCACACTTTGCGAGCTGCAAATATGACTGCTCAAATGCTAGTGGCTTTCGAAATATAGTGTTTTCCTATGATTTTTTTTCAAAATGTAGATCTAACCGAAAAAACTAACCGAACATGAAATTCTCAACCCTATAATGGAGAATTTTTAAGGTACACTCGGGAGTTGTAAATCTTCCCTCCAAATATGACTTGGTTTATCGAGATAAGGCAATTTTCGCGATGCTATCATTTTATAAAAAAAAACTTGGATAAAAGTAAGTGAGCTTGAAATTCTCAACCCCATAGTAGGGTGCTGTTAGAGTTCACTCGGTGGTTGGAAATCTGGCCTCTAAATATCATTGATGAGAACCATTTGCTTTTCGAGACTGGCGATGTTTATGATTTCTCATTTGTTCTTAGATAAAAAACTAACCGAAAAATCAGATAAAAAACTAACAGAACTTAGGTTTTGAACCTTATGATGGGTGCGGTGCTGTCAGGTTACACTTCGGCGGTGCGATTCTGCCCTCTAAATAGATCATTTTGGTATCCGAGAAGTGGCGATTTTATGATTTGTTTCGAAAAAGCTAGAAGAAAACTAAACGATCTTGAAACTCTCAACCCTATATTGAGGAGCTATCCGGGTACATACTGGGTTACTTTCAGGATACAAGTCTGGCTTCTATTTTTTAACTGCTCAAACCTTGTTTTTTGAGATATAGCGTTTCTTATAACCTCATCAATTCTTTCAGAAAAAGTTTGTTTAAAAACACTGTTCAAATAATCTACCTTACGGTGGCAAACTTCAGGTTACAATATAGGGAAGCAAATTTTCCCTCTATTTTTTTCGAGATGACGTTTTTATGGTGTTTTCATTTGAAAAAATATACTGATTTAAAACTATTATCACTTTAAATTCTGAGCATTATGCTGGGGTGCTGTCAGCGTACACTCGGGGGTTGCAAATCTGGCTGACAAATTTTACTGCTCAAAAATTTGTTTCTGAGATATGGCGTTTTTTATGGTTTCATTTTTTTGCCGAAAAAAAACTTGAAACTCGCAAAAAAACCTGAAAAAAAGTTGAAACTCGCAACCCTATCTTGGGGCGCTGTCAGGATACACACACGGGTTGCAAATTTGCCCTATTTAAGAAATGACTGATCAAAACTTTAAAACAGCTGAGATAGGCTCTCTGCTTTTTTGGCGTCTTTTTCAATTTAAAATACTCATATCTGATGAAATTCTAGTTACGGAGATATGACGGTCAAACATAGCCTCAGCGTGGATTTTATATAAAGTTCAATAAATGAAATAGAAACACCTGATAGATGAGCTTAGTTTATGTTCACGGTTACATTAAATATTGCTGTTTCAGTACATGTTTTAGGAGGTATTCACAAATTTCGCCCCTCACACGTTTCACCCCTTAAATTTTACATAAAGAAAGCGCCGGTTATTTAACTGTGTAATAAGCTAGGGGCGAATCGTGCGAGTATGAAATGTGTGAAATTATTAGGGGCGAAACGTGGGACATTCGTTTTAGGAAGCTCTTTACGTTCAACAATTATTTGAAGCACCGTAGGTGCGAGTCATCTGCAAGGTCGTCTCACTCGAACCTTCTTGCTTTATTTCTATCAGTGTAAAAATGCGCGCCTTTTTCGACCATTTCTTGTTAGGCTTTAATACAGTTAATTGATTCAGTAATTTAAACGAGTTAAAGAGGTCCGAACTGACTTAGGTGTTTGACAACTACGCTGTTACTGTTATGATCGGTGGTGAGCCGTACACGCTAGGGCTGTTCGACACAGCTGGGCAGGAAGACTACGACAGATTGAGACCCCTGTCATACCCACAAACGGATGTTTTCCTCGTGTGCTTCTCAGTTGTGAATCCTAGTTCTTTCGAGAACGTCAAAGAAAAGGTATACTCAAATTGCCGAGACAAACTAATACTGAAGGTATTAATAGGTTTCATTTTCATGCTTCATTGTATTATAAGTAAGCATTCGTTAACTTTAAATGATAATGTTTCCTTAAGATACGAGTAAAACAAGCATTATTATGCTTACACCACGCTAGAATATGGTACAAGAAAAAATTTTGGCGTGAAGAAATTTTTCAAATTGCTTCAGTGTTGTTGAACTGATTAATCATCAATGCAGGAATAAAATTCGATTAAGCGCCATCATTGAATATATAGCCATGAAAAATTGTAATTTAAACGAAGCTTAAAACCGTAGATGCACAAGAAAATTAGTAATATAAAATTTTTTCAACAAAACCGTTTAAAACTGGAGAAATGAAAAAGTTTTGATTTTCAGTGGGTGCCAGAGATACAACACCACTGCAACAAGACGCCATTTTTACTGGTGGGAACTCAGAACGATCTGAGGGATGAGCCAGGAAGTGGGAAGGCGAAGACGAAGCCCATCTCGCAGGAGCAGGGAGAGAAGCTGGCCAAGGATCTGAAAGCGGTCAAATACGTCGAATGCTCTGCTCTCACACAGGTGAAAAAAGGCGGGAAATATTTTCGGCAAAATTATTCTCCCATTTCTGTTGGAGTCAATCATAGGATTTATTCAGTGTCAATTAACGAATTGAAGTCACTTCTTTAGTTAGTTTGGTGTACCAATTTTTTTTCTATTCTTTTCAGAAATAGCGCGAAAAAACGTGAACGAGGTATAGTTTTCCAAAAAATTGGATTTTTTTTTGTTTTCCAGCTGATGAAAAAATTATAGATTGATCCATGTTTCTCAAAATGAATAAATGAATTAGTTTTATCAAAAAAAGTGACAATATGTTTTTGACGTTCAAAACGCTTTAATGCTTTATAATGTTTACTTTGAAATTCGAAGTTTAGTGTTTTTCAAAAACAAGTCAGTTTTTTTTGTTTTCTTTCGTTCATTGACTCTTTTCCACCTGCCTATTTGCTATGTTCTTCATTGTTTATTTACCTACTATATTTTGGGTAAGTATTTTTTTGCTTGTGATGTGGCAATCCCCGCAAATTAATAAGATTATTTCAACAAAGTTTTAACTTCGACGGGTTAACTTTTCATGACTTAGTTCTAAGGCTAATCTGTGTTGGTTGTTTTAGAAAGGACTGAAGAATGTATTTGACGAGGCTATTCTGGCGGCGCTTACGCCTAACCCGAAGAAAGGCGGAGAAAAGGCGAGAAAGTGTCTCATTGTCTAATGGCTTCTAAAGACGAGCAGATATTGGACTGAAATTACTTCGAATTATCTTGCTTCTATCCTTGTTTCTGTAGATTACGAATTTCAAATGGTTTCATTATTTTACTAATCACTGTCACTGCGGAGGCTATTTTGTCTATTCGTCTTTGATTTGTTGCTTTTTTTCAACAAACATTGTGCAGCTGAATTGTTCACAGATTTGATTACTTATTATTACGCAAAACATGCAGAACAAATTTTTCATATAATAGCTAATCGATCAGATTGAGCTAATTTAAAATTTCTTGCTTTGTTTGCTAAAAAGACTGTAAAAAGTAATTCAAGCTTTGTTTCAACAGAACAGCGAAGATTGTAATTGTTATAATTAGACCAATGGGGAATATTTAATACTGCTGTAAATATATTTCATTTGGAAGTATCAGTAGAATATGCGAAACTGTTGCTCAGAAGGTAACTTGCCTCAAAAGACCACTCGCTGGAAAAAGTCTTCACAAACTCTTCATCTGTTCTGATTTTCATTTTCAGTAGATAAATAAATGAAGGTAGTCAATTTGAATTATATTCTTTTTCAAGATGTCTTTTACACTTACTTAACTAGGAAACCTGGAATTGTTTTTTTTTCTGATTTAGGAAGATCAACTAAATTTCAAATCTTTTGATAACGCTATTATCTATTTTAAATTAAATGCGGGCTTCACTATCTCGCCATGCTTAAGCTTTTTCAACGTATTTTTTTGCATATTTAACAAAAGAATTTTTTTCACATTTAAGCTATATCGTTTAATGCAATGGTCAAGGTTTTTTCGATTTTCCCGTTTAAATTCAGTGTTTATTTCCTCAAATTTGTAATAAGCAACCCAATAGTTGGATGTTGTCAGAGTTTTCCCAGGTTTTGCAATTCTGGCCTCCATAAATGAATAATCAAATCCTTTAAGCTTTCGAGATATGACGTTTTATACGATTTTAAAAAAAAAAATTCCAAAACTTAGATTTTAAAAAGTTCCAATACGTTGAAGATGTCAATCCTGTTGTTGGATTTTGTAGGGGTACTCTCAGGGGTTGCTAATCTTGCCTCTAATTATAGCTGCTCAAATCCGCGTAATTTTCGAGAATGACGTTTTTTTAGGATTTTTTTTTAAAAATTTTTTTTAAAAAACTTGCATAAAAAAATTTCGAAAAGTTTGATGTTCCCATCTCTGTGGTGAGGCTCTGTCAGAGTACTCTCAGGAGTTGCAAATTTTGCCTCCAAATATGACTGCTCAAATCCTTGTAGTTTTCCAGATATGACGTTTTTTTATGATTTTCTCCGAAATTTTCACAAAAAATTAGATGTTACAACAAGTGTGGCGTTATAGATTAAAGATTTGTAATAGCAACAAGACTGCTCGTATCAGGGCGAAGCCCTGAATGTTCCGGTTGCCTTTTAAGGTTTATGGAGCAGTAATAACATAAATATCGTTAACAAATTGAACGTAAAAAAATGAAGAAAAAAACTCCAAAATTTGAAACTTTTTCCAGGAAAATCATCCCCCCACACGCCATATAAACTACAAAAGAATAGATTTCGCTCCTTGTAACAAATCAATTATGGCAAATAAGCTTCTTTCAACCAATTTGGAATGATTTCTAAGACGGATTAAATCTCCGCTTACGCGTTAATAGCGCGAAATATATCGCGCGTTAATTGTCCCAAATTAGCCAAAATGGTAATCTTTGAACCCTCATAACTTTACGAAAAATGATCACAGGTGAAATATCTTTTCAAATTTAAGCTCAGGACAACAATACCTTTGGAATGATAAAAAAAAATTCCGGCAAAAATGGCTAGTTAAGAAAAAAAATCCACCCCGAGCACATATTCCGTTACTTTCGTATCGAAAGTCGGAACAATAAAGTATAATGTAATGCTTTTGAGTTCGGACCCATACTGGAAACTATTTTTCATTATTATCTTCTTGTGTACTTGAGTAAGAAATGGCCATCTATGTATTGAAAGTAATTTTTGTTGTGACATCAGTTTGAATGTTTTCAGGGAACTGGCGCGCAAAATAGTATGAACACAAGTGGAGCACCAGCACCTAGTAGTCGAGACGCCAGGGCGTGAATAAAATACACATACAACCCCTCCCGGAAGAAACCGAACCCTAGTACCACTGAAAAACAAGTAGCAAAAGCAAAGCAAGAGCTGAAATAAACAGAGCTTTTCAAAAGTGTATTACCATTGAGTTGTGGAGGCATTAACATAAACAAAATGTAATTTGGAATATCAGCTCCGTACGACTTCTGGGATTTCGTTTTTGCTCATGAAAAACATTTAGACACAATTTCATCTGAAACGACTGATATCTTTCTTTTGGTTCGTTAATACATGTGAAGCGTAGTTTGGGTTGGAAAAAAATAAAATTCAAAATACGTTTTTCAACCGTTTTTACTACGTAACAATTACAGGTATTTTAGTAGTTAAAATGGGTACATGTAGTTGGGTCCCAGGAAAAGGTAAGTATGAAAGATGGGTGACAAGTAAACAAATGCGAACCATGTTACTAAAAACTTTTTGAAAGCCTATAACTTTTTCTCCATTCAAAGTCAAGGGACCTAAATATGATAATTTTACCCTAAAATGTAAGCTATTTACGCGCCGCTTGAGCGGAGTGATTTGAGTTTAAATCAATACAGATTTTTTCCTGTTGAGGCGGAGTTATTTTATCCAGACCTTCGATTAAGTCAGTAAATTGTTCTAGGTGGTCGTTCCCAGATGCAAGAATGAAAAATGAAGTAAAACCTAACTAATGCAGTGAAATCAAAGAAACTGTTTCTCAAGACTGCAATAAAGATACATAGAACAACAACTACGTTACCAAGTTCTGAAAACAGTTTCTTTTTTGTTTTTGGCTTAGCTAAAAACGCAGACGAATGAGCTCATGTGCCGATGTATCGATTTAAGTTAGCGTAGGTCTACATTGAAAATTCAATAGTGCTTTTTCAAAAGCTGATTTAAATTGTTAGCATTTTTGAAGACGTGTGCTCAGACTAAAATCTGTCGACAGATTGCAAAACAAAGATGCTGAAAACTGATTTTCCAAAAATAGATTTTTGCGTCATTTTCGTCTTTTGGCTGGCTAAACTTTGAAGCTAACTGCAGAATATGCGTGTTTTAAATACAACGTTTTCTCAGATTGCATCAGACTCGAGTCGTCGGTTTTTTGAATTTCGCGAGTTGTCTGGCGTCGTTTTTTTCAAGTTGAGTTACCTCAGAAATTGGACAAGTATTTAACAATTCTCATGCTTGTAAGATTTCATGTGGCCACCTAAGGGCAATGAGTTTTCTCTCTGCTTGATTGCGGATGAGAAACTGCAGGTAAATTTGGGGCGTGATGAGAATTTGTCTAGACCACCAATTTGATTAGCTACCATCTGAACAAAATTATCAATTTTTTGCTTCTTGTGCGATGGCAAACTGCTTCCGGGCTTCCTCAATTGAAATTTGAAAGAAAAATAAGAGTGATTTTCGATATGAAAAAAGTAAGTTAATTGGGTGGGAAATTTGCATCAGCCAGTTTGGAATTATTGCTGTGACGTTTGTTTTGTAGTTGTGATAGCCTCCCAGCTCTCTATTTCTAGGGTGTGACGAGCAGTTTTTGTTAACTTGATGGTTTTTAAGTATGAGATATCGTACCTGACAATTAGGGCAAAATTTGTGGCTGAAAGAACAAGCAATTAAGCATGTAAAATGATGTACAAAAGTGAGCCAGAAAAAAATATGAGCCGGAAAAAAACATGAGCCAGAAAAATTCAGATTCTTGCCAGCCTTTCTGTGAATCATTATTTGTTCAAAAATTTGACGCCTCATTTAAGATAACCTGGGTTTCAGATAACCCAAAAAAAAAACAGGAAACACGTGACTTCTTTTTTCAATAGTTTGTACTAATACTAGTTAAAATACGTCCGCTCTATAAATTGAGGCATGCTAGTTGGTAAATTTCTTTTCAAATTGACTGGTACTGCTAATGTGTCATAATTGCCTGCGTCAATTAGCAATTATATAGACCCATAATTGGCGTGCAACACTTGAGAAATTTTGTAGACTCAAATTTTACTCATTTAGTTTTTCCCAGTAGCGTTGTCGGTCACATTTTTGTTTGTGTTACACTGCGAAGCTAGTGTATTGGTACTAATCTTCTTTTTTTTCAACCTAAGTCGCAAATATTGGTGCGGCACCCCAATAATAGTGGAGCCCTTTTACATCTTTTTGATAGCTTGTGCTTTGATTTCGATTAGTAATCAATTAACACAGTTGATGCATTTTTAATTCATCAAATGAACCGAAATAAGCTATTTACTTTCAAACGACATCACAATAAGAACTCGATTTCAGAAATTTTCGTACTCAATATATATATAAAATTTCGTGGATGCCTTCAGTTTGTTATATTCCAAATAATTAATTGCAAAATTGGGTCTATTTGAATTTGGTGCTAAATCGCATTGGCAATTTGTGTGCATATGTAGCTGCTTTATTCGTGACTAGTGTTTGTCGGTTGGTAAACTTGAGTGGCTGAGGGATAGTGCGTGAGGCTGAAAATCTTTTGATTGCAGTAGGTCGCAGATTCGAATCCTACTCGTAGCCGAGTTGTTGCTAATTTGACGCTTATTTCTCTTTATTTAACTTGATGGAGCTGCTTTTTAGTCGTGCTCCCGTAAGTGTTGCGAAGCCCAGCTTCGCCTCTGCGTTAAATGAAGGCAAACTGCACTATCGAAAAGCAAATTTGAAAAGGTCATGAAAAACGTAAGTGACTGCTAGTTTCAAACGACTTACGACTTCATTTTTCTGATTCCCTAGTGGATTAAAATAATTAGTTGTTGAGCCGGTTTTCTATAAATGGCAAACCTTAAAAAAATGCCAATCATAAACAATTATTGAAATTCAAAGAGCTTCAACGTAATATTTTTTCTTCAAAAGTTTAAAAACTAAATCTTCACTAGTTGAAAATCGCCGTAGTTACCGCTTCGTAATTTTTGTTTCGATGCTATTTAAATAAACTTCCTTCAAATTAAATCAACTTTGATCACAAATTCTATCAGGCCTGTCAACTCTATCATATATGAACTAGCTCATATAGTTCATAATTGTTTGATATTTGAGTCAGAGCCCATATTTCCAAGTTTTCGGCATTTTTTCAGTTTTGCAGGTAATTTGTCCCTAATTTTCACTGATATATTCAAAATCTTTTGGCAGAAACTTGTCAAAACTGAAGCTGTCCATTTTTTAGGGATTCAGATGGGAAATTAATTCTTTAATTTTATGTTTTATTAAAACAAAAAAAAATTTATTGAATGTTGTCCTTGAAGTCCATAAAAATTTCTTTCTTGGGGTAAGGTCTGTGGTTCATATTTTAGGTTGTGAAAGTTGACAGGCCGGATTTCATCGGCTAGATAATATGCTATGTTTTTGTAATCCAAGTGGTGAGCAGTTCTGCTTTCCTGTGTCTAATAATTTGGAGCTCGAAGATCATTGAAGCATAAATTGAGTTCAAATGCTGTCTTGATCTGGGCTCGAATTTTGGTCGAGCGTTT